GGTCAAAACAGATTAATTTGAGCCACACATTTTCCTTTGGGCTGGGTTCCACTGCAGGAAGGGCAAGATATAAATTTAATAAATAATAATGTTTCAAGCTCCAAACAAACTGCACTGAAGTTCCAGCTGAACAATGCAACTCGTTTCCTGAAAAATGCATTTAGGACTGGGGGTGCTTAAAGATAATTGCTAAAACTGACATTAGACTACTTCAAACTACTCAGTAACATAATCCAATGTCTGGTTAAATACATTCCAAATCCGTACCCACAGTCAAAGCTGGCCCATCCATGAGGCAAGGTGGGCAACTGCCTCTGACAGCAGGACCCATAGGGGCAGCAGATCCCAATATAGATCTTTATCCCCACCCCACCCCCTGCTCATGATGTAGATCTTCATTTACTTCTTCCCTGGTGGGGAGGAGGTTACTATTGTGTGGTTTTCCTCAGTTGCCAAAATGTCTTGGGCCAGCCCTACCCACTCCACTCTCAAGGAGTTACATAGCAAACACAACAATCCACTTCAAAGCAACGAAAAAGGAAAAGGGTCTGAAAATATTTTTAACAAAATGCAATCCATGTATTGTGTGAGCACTGTACAATTTTGTACTGTTAAACATAGACCCTGCAAATGAAGTTTGGGATTCCTGACATACAGCATCTCTCACATACAAACCAAGTCTCTTTAATAGTGCAAAATGAACTAAAATTGTTTGGTTGATATCTGGTATTAGTCATACTCAAATTGTGCTCACTGAATTCACTAGACTACCAATTTCAATAGACTTATACCAATTTCAATAGGTGTTGTCAGGGGCTCAGGGACAGAGCCACAGGGGAGAGAGGAGATGGAGAGCGAAGGGGAAGAATCTGAGGGGAGCATAGGAGGGTATGACAGTGACCCGGGAGATTCCATGAGCCTCTCCAGCGAATCAGAAGATTCCCAGAAGGAGGCACCCAGGGTCAGGGCAAGGGGGGCCAGCGGCGAGTCCCAAAGCGGCAGCTGGAGATCAGGGCCAGCTTCCCCACCAGAGCGTAGCGGGGGGGGGGCGGAGAGGCCCACATGTCAGGACCAGCGTCTTCTCCAGCAGGGAGAGAGGGTGAGTCAGGGCTGACCACGCCTCCGTCGGAGAGTGGAGGAGCGGAGGGGAGGTCAGTTCCAGCCAGCCCCCCCGAAGGGGGAAGCAGTGACAAGAGCAGTGTAGCCGTTAGGAGGAGAGTGGCCGGCTGGGCACGCGCGCCAAGTTCAAATGTGCAGGCGCGCGGAACAGCAGAAAACCCGGATTGGGAGCCAGGTCCTAAAGCCCGCCGGAAGCGGGGGGAAGAGTCAGGAGAATCAGCTTCGGAAGAGTCCAGGAAGGAGGAGACCCCAGCTGACAGGCGGACCCAGAGGAGGAAGGAGCAGAGGGAGTAGAGGAAGAGGTGGAGCAAAGCTCGGGTGTTAAACTGGTGTCGGGGAGGAGGAGACTCAGACGGAGCTTCGACGGTCTAGGGTTTCAGACGTAGGGCTGCGCGCCACGGCTGTCAAACCAATAATGAACTTCAATAAAGACTTCTGTATATAAAGAGGAACTGGCGTTGGTCCTTTGTGAGCTGGGACCGGAGGCAGCCCTGACAGGTGTACTCTAAGAAAAACTTAGTTAGATATCACCCTTCATTTTTGTACCAGTTAGAGCTGAATTTTAATATAACTAGAATATACACATTTCTTAAAATCAGATCAGTTTTGTATTCCTATATTATTCTGGGATCAAATTATCTTCAAAATTATTGTATTTACTTGGAGCACTGTAATATCCCACTTTCATTAGTAGCATCACAGTGGTAGGCGAGTGAAGGTGCACCAGTTTTACAGATAGAAAGCTGCAGTTTCAGGCTCATGCCTTTAATTCTGCTGAAATCACTGGAACCAAACTGATTTAAAGCCAAGCATTCATCTTAACTATTTTATGCATCATTTTAATTCTGACAGATTTAGTCAACAGTCCTCTGAAATAAAAGGCTATTTCAAATGTTGTTCTCAGTCTCTCATTTATTCTTAAATGCATGAGCTACAGAACTCAAAGCAGGCCTAATGTCAGAGAACGTCTCCTGATCACCGCTTAAAATGTTTGAAAGAGTAAAAAACTTCTGTAAAAATTCAAGCATTTTTAAAAGAACGATAATGAGAAAAGACAAGGAATGCCAGTGAGGTGGAGAGGTACCCATGGGGGTTGGGGAATTTATTATAAAAAACAGTTTTAAAGTAACTAAATTATTACAACAATTTAGGAAGTTCAAAAGTTGCCATTAACATTTTTGTTGTTGACTGTCCCTCATGAAACAGATACAATGTACCATTCTTTAAGCATGCTAATAGTATTACATCATCTGTTTATGTCTTCAAAACTTTCCATAAAATGTAAATAATTCCCAGATTTGTAAACACTGTGAAACCACAGCTTCAAATACAAATAAACTATAGGTTAACATGTATGAGTGCTTCTGCTTCCCTACTCCTGTCTTTGGGACAAAGGGAGAGAAATAAGCAAGAGTCAAACTTGTCTTGAGAGGTGTTTGCTTGTGCAAATGAGTGCTCATGGCTATTTCTCTCCAAACAAACACAAAGGTAGAAATGCCAGCTTTGCCCATTATGACAAGCCAGAATGAGGCTTGTTTCCTCCCTTACATGGGGACAGTCAGCAGAAAGGGAAGAGCTAACTGTTCATACACTATGGTTAAGCACTGCATGCAAACAAGGCCAGAATAAGGGAAATATATTATTCCTAATCAAATATTTTAATTGATCTAATTTTAGTTACTGAGGAGGAAAACCTCAAGACATTTGTATAGCATGTGTAACATTAACATAATGGGTTTTGTTTACTAAATTACAAGTCACAGATTCTAAATTAGATTCTAACCAATAGAGGCCACCAGAAAACCCATATTCCTGAGATATGCACAACGAAGAATTATGAGCTGAACTACCACAGACAATTTTTTTATTTAAGTACTTTAAACAACTGGGCCCTGAAACTAAAACATATACAGATTGTCAGCTGGCTAACTGTAAAATTACCAGTACATACACAGAAGGCAGGAATGGGTGAGGAACTGGTCTTTCAGTCCCCCCCCCTACATGTTCAAAGGAAGACCTGTTCAACTAACCACTTATTTACCAGAAAAAATGTCATTACCACACTGGAGGGGAAAGCGGGAGAGAGGGTGGAAGGGGGGGGGGAGGGAGAGAGAGGGAGGGAGAGAGAGAGAGAGAGATCCAGAGCAACAGTGTATCTACCATATCATTGAGAAGAACATCAATAGTACTTTATGGAAGAATAAACTAGGCTGATGTGTGTAGTACTGTACTTTGAGACTGGAGATTTCTCCAAGGCCTCAAATGGGAAAAAAGTCTTCTTTGCCTGCATACATTTTCAAGGGGGCTTCCTTCAAAAATGGATGCATGCGCTCAAATTATGATAAGGAAACTGTATCAGGCAATATTCTAAAGGACTTCCCCTTTAAAAACACATAGTCAAAACACAGTGACTAGTTAAATATGTCCATCTGAAATACAGGATGGTCAAGTGAAGGCTGGTCATCAAAAGAAACAAATGCGAAAAATTAACACCAGAGACCAATGTGAATTTAAATTTATAACAAGTCAGGATTTGAAATAATGTGCGGGTAAAAATTCACAGCAAAATACCTTGGTAAATCCAAGAATACCTGCCAATATTGTACCAAGAATGGAGAATGGCAAGATATAAAAGAACAAATCATCCTAAAGCACCTTCAAGACTGACATACTGTAGCATATGCCTTCAAATAATATAAGAAAAAACCTTCAAAATCCACATTTGGGCAGTACCTTTTTTGAGATGAACCAAAATTTCACAGAAGCATGGCACGTTTTTGAGTTCTACAGAACATCCTGCCTGATGACAAGCTCCGGAGAACTCAAAAACTTGTCACACTTCTGTAACATTATGGTTGGTCCCAATAAAGGCATTGCCAAAGTGTGGATTTTGGGGGGAGTCATCTGTGAGATCTGTAGGCCTCAACTCCTTAACCAATGAGACTCTTGCAGCACCTGGGGTCTAGATTTTTCTGACACATGTTCTCAGACCACAAAAGATTATGCTAAGGCACATTTGTTAGCCTTTAAGGTGTCACAAGATCACTGGGTATTTTTCACAACTACTCTTCTTCAACAGAATGATTAGGACTATCCTATAATTAAAACCCTGCGGAAGTTGGCCACGAAACACCTACAATGACATCTGGCCATGAAACACCTACAATGACATCTTGACCATGCCTCCAAGGCTGCAATCTTACAGGGGGAGTAAGTCCTGCTGATATTTAGTTTCTGAACAAACATGAAGAGGAGAGCAAAACACCACAGGAAGAAGGTTGGTGGGGGGGGTGAGAGAAAGAGAGATAAACAGAGGCAGAAATTAAGAGGAAGACTCTTAGAGTAGCAAGTAGAGAAAGCCCTTGTCCAACGAATCACATTCCAAAGAGGTTTGAATTAGACATAAAATGACAGCACTGCATCAGAAGGAAGCTTTGATATATGTGTGTGTGTTTGTTTACCAGAAAGCATACGATAAAAGAAAAGTGTATAAATATGCAAAGGCATCTGGGATTTCCTAAAAAAAAAAAAAAAGTATCCGGAAAAGGTGCAGAAACATCCCAGGCTGCCCCTGGGGTTGGCAAGGCGAGAGGCCCTGCTTAGGAGAGGGCTCCCCCCCACCACCCACCTCTCTTGGGCACCAACCGCTCTCTTTTTTGGTGGGGGGGGGCAGAATCATCAGTAACAATTTCATGGGGAGGAAGTAAGAGGAGCCCCCGTGAGAAGTGCGTGTGTGCATATTGTGTGTATGTGTGAGAGAGAGAGCTAAGTGTGTGAAGTGTGTTACCCGAGTGCCAATGCAGCCCCCGCCCACAGAGAGGAGAGAAGGGCTGCCCCATAACCGACCCAGACTGAATCATCACCCCCCCGGATCCTTTTACCGGAGTTCGGCGCTGGCGGGGGGTCTCGGCCGGCCTCATACTGACGGGACTGGAAGAGGGGGCTCCGCTAGTCCGTGGCCCCCGCTGACGATGGCGTGAGGGGAAGAGGGCGAGGAGGGAGGAGGAGGAGACGGCGGAGGAGGGGGCTGTGGCGGAAGCGTCGCGTCCGGGCAGAGCTGCTGGCGGCGGAGCCGCATTTCCCCCTCTCTCTCTCTCCTCCCGTCACAAGCCTCCTCGGCCACCCCTCAGGTGGGGAAGCGAGAGCGAGGAGCCCGGTCGGCCCACCTTCGCGTACGGGCGCGGGGCCCCTCTCGGCTCCCGTACACAGGGAAGAAAAAGAGGGGGGGGAGGGAAACGGGGGTGGGGGGGGAGAGAGCAAGCGAGAGAGAGAAACCCTCACAGAGGCGGCGGCGGCGGCCGTAGGCAGCTGCTTGTTGCTATTACTGCTGCCGCCGCCGCTTCCTCACTTCCGGGAGCGACGCGGCGTGTGTGTGACGTCATGACGCAGCCGGGGCACGGGCGCGTGTGTGGGGTGTGTGGTCTCCCCCCCCAAAAAAAGAGCTGCGCCGTTCTGTAGGGGGGCTTATTTGAAGAAGAAAAAAAGTACTATAATATTTTTACTTTGTAAACAAACGACCCGAACGCCTCCATCCGGGTACTTGCAAAGGAAGCTCCGATTCTGCTGAGGGAAGAACGTAGGTGCCTGTATGAGTCCGTGCCCAAGTCCATATTACTGTTATAGGAACTTGCCTTTGGGCGCAAATACAGCCCTGTGTGTGTATCACATACTGTATATATATATACATACATATATACATATATGTGTGTGTTTAGATATATATATATATACACATACATACATACATACAAACACACACACAAATTACACGTTTACACATACAGAGAGAATATATTATTATTATTATTATTATTATTATTATTATTATTATTATTAGCAAACCACCAAGTGAGAGTTATAGTTCATCTGATGAACTGGGCTCTAGTTGACAAATGCTTTTATGCCATGATAAAATTTAGTCTTTTAGGCTTCACAAACCTTTACTGTGGCTGATCACAGAATTTTCCTGCCCTGGGCAACATGAAGGGCAGATTTGGTCCCACGTGGCTCCGCTGTCCATGACCACTCAGCTGGCAGAGGGAAGGAGGGTATACAATGCAAGTGTGTGCAACGCCATCTCTCTTTTTTTTGGCACAGTAATGGACACTGAGCATAGTGGCAAGCACAGACTTGTAAAATCCATTACCAACTGGCAGGTAGGGGAGGGGCTGAGCAGAGGGGACAGGCTTCCTTCCGCCACAGCCAACATGGAAATCAAACATGCTTCGTCTACCAACAGCCCACCCACCTAAATATAATTCCTATTGCTACCAGGCAACAAGTGTATTTGTAGACCACTCTTCATGATTGCCCATAGTGATCTTGGAGCAATTTCCGAGATAAATTACATTCAACATAGAATTACATTGAAATACGAAACTTAAAACAAGTCATTAATAAAATACAGCTGTGCAGAAATAAAACCTAAAAGTGTTAGGCAGGCTGCATGACTTCATTTCCTCCAAAGGCCCTATAGAACAGGTATATTTTTACTTGGCGACAAGCCTTTCAGAATTGTTCCCATCCCTTGTTAAATACAAGCCTAGACAAGCCCTGTTCTGCACTGCACAGAGATTGGCAGAGGCCAGCCAAGTACAGGCAGTGGCAGCTTCTGCTCATTCTGGCTGGCCTGCTGGACCCAAAGAGAACAGGTAGAGCAGCCTTTGACAACCTGGTGCCCTTCAAATGTTTGGGAGTGCAACTCCCATTAGCAGCAGCCAGCAGAGGGAGGTAGCAAAAGGCAGAACAGTGGTTGCTCCTTGCAACTCACTGGTCTAGCTCTATCGACCATGCTACCTAGAGACTCACTCGCTGGATCATCACCGTGTCATGGTGAGTAGGCTTGCACGTTCCTATGACCCTTGTGAACGAAGCTGTCAGGAATCTCATACTCCCAGCAGGGTCACCCAAGGTGGTAAGGTCAAAGGGTTCCATCAACGGTGTCTCTGAAGAATTTTACACATCACTTTGGAAGACAGGCGAACTAATGCCAGTGTACTGGAAGAAGCAAAGATCACCAGTGTCAAAGCAATGATTCCTCAACATCTACAGTATTTTGGACTATGCACGTTGTTCAAATAGCTCATTATCATCTTCCAAAGCAACTACTCTATTCCGAACTTAAAAATGGAAAGCATAATGCTGGTGGTCAGCAAAAGAGGTTTAAAGACTCTCTCGAGGTAAATCTAAAAAAAGTAAGATAAACACCAACAATTGGGAAACATTGGCCTGCAGTTCTCCAACTGAAGAAAAACCTTTACTGAAGGACTTTGAAGATGCTTGAACTCAAGACGCAAGGAAGAAACATGCTAAGAGGAAGGCACGTTTGGCAAACCTTCACCTTGATCAACTCCTGCCCGGAAACCTATGTCCCCACTGTGGAAGGATGTGTGGCTCCAGAATTGGCCTCCGCAGTCACTTACAGACTCACTGTTAAGACCGTGTTCATGGAAGACTATTTTACTCGGCTATGAGTGTTCGCCAAACAAGCTACCTAGAAATAGAAGGTTAGAATCCTTTTTCCTTGAACAAATTATTTTCATATCTGTCATAAGTGTCTGCATAATAGGTTTTTTTTAATGGGGGTGGAGTATCTTTATAATGGCAGTTGTATTAGGGGGCGGGATGAAATATGGTACCAAAGGCAGTGAAAATCCAAAGTAGACCTTCTCATTCCTCCCCCCCCCCTTTCATCTCCGGGGGGGAAATGCAGTTTATAGAAACAACTAAAAAGTTGTTTTATTTTAGTTGAATATCTAAATATGCTTTTTGAAGACATTGTTATGAATTTGGGGCATACAGCCTACCCCCCCCGTCCCTATTCTAATTCCGAGATCAATTTCTGGAATAGCCAGGCCAGCCTGGTAATGGCCCGCTATGTATGGGTCTCTAAGGTAACAAAGGAAGTGGCTCTGTGTCAAATGCGTGGACCTCCCTCCCTCAACTGTCTCTCAGGTAGAAAGACAAAAGACCAGAGTGGAGAGTTGAGTTATCTGAGCCAGAAGCTGGAAGAAAAGCTGCAGGCTGGCCAGGCAAAGAGAGAGAGCAATGACTGATTTCTTTTTTAACCCAAGGCTGTGGCTATGGGAGAAACAAGACCCTTTGGGGGTGTTAATGCTGTGAACCCCTCCACTGCAGGCTCAAGTTATATATGTGTGTGTAAATAAACCATATACAGTATTACATTCTCAAAGGAAACACGAACCCTGGGTGCCTGGGTGCTTGGAGATTGGAGTGGCATTCAACAATATCCTTCCAGAGTTATAGATGAGCTTTCCACTTTCCTAACTGAATGCCGTGTCTGATCACTTCTGGGGTGGGGGTTACAGAAGCATCCTTGCCATGTTCTTCCCTTTGTAGTCATTCAAAATGATAGGATACAGGACTCAAGAGCTTCCCAGCTTTATACAGGCATTACTATTTTGTCTTGCAAGCACAAACAATTTTCCATGCTTTCGTAAGTTAATGATATTTTCTCCTTCCCCTGCATTTACATGAGTTTAAGGGTATTTGTTTGCATGGGACATGAAACGCTGGGTTGTGGAGCTGAATACTGTGTGAAATGGGGAGCCAGAGAAGGAGTTAGCTGTAAAACGCATAATTTACAAAAGAGAAATGTAAACTTTGTAGAAAGAAAACAGCAGCGAATAAGTTCCGTCTGGGTTCCTAACTTGTCATGTAAGCAAGAGAATTGTAGCACATCTTAGGCCTGAGCTTCATGGGCAGCAGCATGGGGTTCTTCTGCTTTGAACCACAGCTTCTGCAGCAAAGGGGTTCTGACCCAAGGTAAGACTTCGCGTTTGGGCAGGCAGAGGAAGGCAGGACAAAGTAAGTCAAAGATGAGGCAAGGCAAGGATTTCAGGATTCAAGTGATACCACAGACACTACCTAGCTGATATCACCCCTTAAAGACTGGTTTATGGGAATGGGTTAGAACCACAGAAATAATGAGCTCACACACAACAGTCTCCTGTTAAGACTTCAAGGCTGGTATCACAAGGTAATTGGGTGGAAGGGGTGAACGCCTGTGGTCTAAGTTCCCATATAACCTGGATTGGTGGGAGCTCTCGGCAGCCAGCCAGTCAGCCGGCGTCTATTTGGGCTTTTGACAGCATCTTGTTCCGTTGCTCAGCCTACTCAGATTTAAGTGTAGTAAGTTTTTGTGTTACTTAGCTGGATTAGTTAGTGTTTGTTGCTTTCTTACCTTCTGAGTTATTTTAATCTGTGTAATTATTTGGAGTTTTTCACTCTTGTAGAATTTTGTTTTAGTAAAGTCTGTGTATGATTTTATGAAATTTGGTCTGGTCTGGGTTCCTGAACCTTTTAATTTTGACCACACTTTGCTTTTCGGAGGAAGGGTCATCTGCCACAGGCACTCTCTGCAGCTGCCTTTTCTGCTGGTTAAATAGATCGTGGTGCAACTCTTCCTCTACTGCTGCTGTAGTCAAGGCTTGGCTATTGAAGCATCAGTCCTTTCATGTGAGCATCCCTGGGAGGCAGGGACCTCAGCTTCCCTGGTCAATTTCAGGGGTTCTCTAAGTGCTCGCTGTTCACCATGTCTGGGCTCTCTGAAAAGATGGCACAAACTCTGAAGGCTGTAATTTTAAACACAAACCAGGGGGTAAGTCCCATTGCACACAGTGAGAGTTACTTATGTGTAAACAACCACATAATTATCTAAACAATGGCCCACCAAGTAAGGAAGCAACACCAGTTAAAGAGAGGCAATTCAACGTAATCACTTAAGACACATTACTTACCCAATAAGTGTTCATATGACTTCAGTTAAGGCTGCTCTGGCTGCTACTCCAACCACAATATGAGACCAGCAAAAAGAAGGCGAGCGGGGTGGATTGGGGGAATTTCCCTGGCACTTTGTTTATGTCTGCAGTAACACCCTTGAGCTTTCCTTCTTCCCATTTTCTTTTGCTTTGGTTTGACTGTCAGTTTCCTCTTGATGCATTTCCTCTCCGCAGGTGCTTCCTCCTCTCAGGACTATGAGATTTCTTCTTTTTCTTTTTGAGCCGCATCGCATAGACACCTGCGCACCTTCACACTCCATTACCCCATAATAAATGCTAAACCGAAGAAGGAAGAAAACACCATATGTGTGAGATTTGAATGAAGTTAGGACTGTGCAGAGTTAGGAGGAAATGACCAAGACACAGGGTGGTAAGAACGGGTGAATTGTTGGTGGGGAGGTCTGGGAGAAGTGATGGTGGAGGAGGAATCGCAGGGAAATAGCTAGGGTGAAGGGCGCTGTTGGATAACCTGAGAGAAACATACAAGGATTGCAGCACAAAACCTTAATTGTGATAGGTCCTGGGGTGAGGAACAGAA